ATAGAACGAAAATGTCCCAGTAACATCACTAGCATGGAATGTTCACACTGATTGTCTAGCGGTTTTAGACTGCTTGATATTATGAGGTATTCGCAGCTTGTCATCATGTATTTTGTTGAACGTTTGATTTTTGAGTTTCTTTCTTTAATTGGTTTTTTGCTTACATATTTGGTGCTCTGCATAGGACGATGATAACGATTTCGGGTTTTTCTATTCAAACAATTCGTACGCGCTTACATTTTTCGTTGAAATTTTTGCGTTAAAAAGTGCTGAGCAAAGATGTTTCAATTTTATTGTTTCCAGAGGAAGAAAATGAGCGAATCGGGATCATTGGGAACCAGCTCGACGAGCTCCGATGTTGCTACTGATCCCTTCAGTCAACTATTGGCCTCAGTTGCTCGCCCAATACCCAGTTCACTTACAGGTGAATTTTTCAAAAAGAATTGATGACTAGGCTTGTGATTTCAGAGGTTCTAGTGGTCAGCACCTGACGTAAGAACAACAGCTTCATGTCAAATAAGCTTTGCAGTCTTAATGAATACGACAGGTTCGTATGAATTTGTAAAATTTCCAGAAGTAAATGACCACTCGGGTGACCATCGAAGAGTTGGCGGATATAACACTGGGATATGCAATTGAGGATCGAAGGGCTTGACGTAGCTGTGGCGAGGACATTCCAGTAACATCATTGGTATGGGATCCCCATACCAGTCTTTAGGCGATCTTTAGTATTCTTGATATTTTTTATGGAAAAATCTTTTCGACGGAATTTATGTCCATCCGAAAGAGGCCAGATTTAATTGAAACGGAACAAAGGCACCGAAACAGCTTAGAGACGGATAATTTATGCCCGAGAACGAAGTAAACGCCGCGGAAGGAGAGGAGAAAAGTGGCCAGGAGTGGAGAGGGGGAGACAGTGGTCGGGAAAAGTTGTCTTTGTCGTTGCCGGTGCCGTTTCCTTCCCAAACCTTAAACACACCACTGATTCTATGTAAAATCTTGAGTTGTTACGATGGAAAAAGAACTTTTATTCAGAAATAATATCATAACTGTACACCGCATTCCGATGTCCGTCTTCGCTTTTAGTGCTGCTCTAGCTTGCTTCTAAGCAACCCACAAAAAGAAGGAACCATCAGCAGCCTTGCCAGCGTATGATTGCTGTTGGCATTTGCTACCACTCGGGCTACTTCAAATCGGCTTCGTCTCTAACAGAGAGTGAATATGGACGATATTTTGATTTAGCGCTGATGTTGTTAGTTAGCAAAATATAACGTTACTCTAACGTTCGAGAGTAAAATAACCCTATTAAGTTCAAATCCAGTTTACAAATATTTTTCCATTTCTACGATCCCAAAACTTTTTCAGTGCAGTAAAGCGAGTTTTTCGTTGAACAATGCTAAAAAAACTTTTAGGACCCATTTTACACTTATGTTAAAAAATATCTAAAAACAAATAAAAAAAAAAGAACAGAGTAAATGCCTTTAGCAAGCATGTCTTGTGGATTCCGTAATCTGCTGGGCAGCCTGTCTTGTTTGGTATATTTCGAGTACAGGAGATCAACTAATGTTTTTCATGACTTTTTTGGAACGAAAAACCTGAAAAATCACACAAAAAGTACGTCGGGGGCTTGAAATTTTAACTTTTTTTGTTTTGGCACATAAAAAACGTTACAGTTTCATTTTTTTTTTAAAATATTCTTACGTTCGATTTGCTTGCTCTTTCACATTTACATTCTGCCCTGAGGATTATCAGCAATCGGCAGAACAGTGCCTCTCGATGAATAGTGAAACCGGTTGCCGTCATTTTCGCATTACCTCATGTCATC